GAGAGAGAGAGAGAGAGAGAGAGAGAGAGAGAGAGAGAGAGAGAGAGAGAGACAGAGAGAGAGAGAGAGAGAGAGAGTAGCAAAGTTGAGCGTAGTAGCGTAGAGTAGGGTCGAGCGCAGTAATGTAGAGTAGCGCCGATCATAGAGTAGCGTCGAAGTCGATTGTAGCCGATTAGGAACAATAGGGTACAGTGTGTTGAAGTGGAAGAGCCAGTTAGTTAGGGACACCGTTTCTTTCCGGAGCTGCCTCGCGAAAAAAGGTTAGTTGCATCAACCCCGTGCGTGTGTGCGGAGTGTGGAGTGCCGTGCGCAGGCACTACCGGGCCAGGGCCTACCGGCTCAGGCCTACTGCGCGCGGTACTGCCCAGTGTGATTTCGCTACCGGCCTAGCGATCGTCTCCAAACGATCAACACACAATCTGGACCATGCTGTATAACGCGGACGACGGTCCAGATTGTGAGTTGACGACATCAGAAACGATCAGCAGCCAATCTGGACTGCGCGCGGTACTTCCCAGTGTAATTTCAATACCGGCNGACGACGGTCCAGATTGTGAGTTGACGACATCAGAAACGATCAGCAGCCAATCTGGACTGCGCGCGGTACTTCCCAGTGTAATTTCAATACCGGCCTAGCAATCGTCTCCAAACGATCGACACACAATCTGGACCGTGCTGTATAACGCTGACGACGGTCCAGATTGTGAGTTGACGACATCAAAAGCGATCAGCAGCCAATCTGGACCGCCGCGCACCAAGGAAACCAAGGGCCCAGATCGGCTGCTGGTCATAGCAATTGTTATAATGTAGTGGTCAACATCTTCTGAGTTGTGTGCATGTGTGCAATCATGTCATGCTGTTCTACACGTTTGCTTGTCAAGCTGAAGTCCCAGCACGTACCTGTACATTCGAAGAGTTCCAGAGGGTCATTCCTGAAAAAGGTGTGAAGGACTGAAATTCGGTCCTGCCGTCCAAGAGATATGAAGGAAAAGTTCTTCAAGGAGTTCTGCGCAAGCACTTAAAAACCAAGTGCAAATAAGTGTGTAGTAATTCCAGCAAATGGCAACGTTTTTCTCGGGTTTGCAGGGGCTGATAGGGAATTCCCACGGACGCCAACAGGTTCTTGTCCGGTGCCAGACGCATCCATACTCAGCATTTCACGTCTCATCATTGCCTGCCATCATAGGCTGGTACTGGCATCACTGAGCACCATAAGCTTCCCGAGAGAGGTCAGGTAACCTCCCCCAGCTCGGTAGGGTATACCGGAGGCTGGAGAGAGGCCGCTGGCATCACTGGGCATCATAAGCTTTGCCGAGAGAGGCCGGGTAACCTCCCCGAGCTTGGTAGGGTATACTGGAGGCTGGAGAGATGCCACTGGCATCAGTGGGCACCATCAGCTTGCCAAGAGAGGCCAGACAACCTCCCCCAGCTCGGTAGGGTATACTGGAGGCTGGAGAGGCCAGGTAACCTCCCCCAGCTCGACCGGGGGACATTAGGAAAGGCCATTTATCTTGGTGACACAATGCTGGCCCAACTTCAAGAGGCAGTACCACTGGATCTCAAAAGAGGAGGACCGAGGAACACTCCTGGCTATGGCAGATAACCATCCTACGATAGCCAGGGCAATGCACTTAGCGCAGCCATAGAGATAAAGGTAAGTGAGGTACTGCAATGTTGGGAGCTGGCAGAAAAAGCTATTCCCATGCCAGACCACATTGGACTTACAGAGTTGAGTTAGTCCCGGAACAAGGCAGCCGACATATACCTCTCGGGATGCTTTTGCTGACACGGACGCTTGGAGTGTGGGAGTCGAGATGTGAGCAGTTGATGCGAGAGGGAAAAGAGAGATTTGATGCAGCTGGCAAAGGCATTCATACAATTCTTGCAATTTGCCGGAAGGCAGTACCAGGAACTGTTTTTCTGTTCAATTCAATGTTTTTGATATTCAATTGTGATCCTTTTGAGAAGTTTCGACTCTTTTCTAATAAAGATGACGGACAGGAAAAAAAAAAAAGCGAGGGACACGAAAGATATTGGCAAGGAAGAGTGATATTGACTTGGGAACTTGGTTAGTTTCCCTCCCTCTCCTCCTTGTCTCTTCGTGCTTTTAATTACTTTAGCTGAGGTACTCATGAAAGATGTGTTGTTCCGTTTTCTCATCTATGGATGACAACGTAGTGAAACTGACCAGGATGGACTGGCTCTTCACAACACTTGAGGATCGGCTTTCCTTTCTTCGCGTCACTTCGTACTGGGGTCCACTTTACGACCAAGAACCCTCCAATGTCGTCAACAGTTGGCTTGTATATCCTGCAAGGTTACAGAAAGTGAAATGTTGATGTCAATTCCTGCTGCTCAATACTAAACTAGGCAGGTAGCCATAACAATGGCACAAGAGAATGAAGCATAGGTTTGTTAACAATAGGTAACGGTTTACGCTTTACCTCAGCTTCACATGAGAGGTAGCCACAGCAAAGCAACAGAGAGCAGAAAGAGAGGGAGAGCAAAAAGTGGAACACAGCAAAGACAGAAGAGATATTTCCCTTATCACAGCCAAAATATACAACCTCCGGTCAACAGTGTGAGATAATCAGTCTCCACATCTGCACCTGGGGTGAGTGAGAGCGAGAGAGAGAGTTTTATGTTCCTTAATTCTTTCTCCAGAGTGCGTCCGTGTGCGCGCGCGCACACATACACACACACACACACACACACACACACACAGATAGACACACAGAGAGAGAGAGAGAGAGAGAGAGAGAGAGAGAGAGAGA